CCGTGGAGCGGGCACGGACGAAGACACAGACACTTATGTTGAGGACGGGGGCTGGAGGGTAGGGGAGGGTCGGCCTCTGAGCGCGGATAGCCTTAGCAGGGTGTCCGAGGCGGGGCGATGGCAGGCCTTGAGGACGGGGAAGCAAGTGCAAGGCTTGAGCTCTCGGGCGAGGAGCGGAACCGCGCCCGATGCCGCTTCCCATTCAGAAGCAGCCTTCCACACCCAAGATAGTGCGAGGATCAAGGGCGAGACAGCAGCCGTGGACGCCCAGCTCCGGTACGACCCTCTATTCCGCTACCTGTACGAGGCTTCTCAGGCCTGTCCTCGAGGCTTCCAGGACTGGTGTTGCCTGTGTACCAAGGCCAAGGCTGCGCTTCGGAAGGACGAGCACAGAATCGAAAGGAGAGAATTCGACGAGAGGAGTACCGCCTGGTTTACCCGCGTTACGTGCTGTCGGAAAGAGGAAACAGCCGCCAGTGCGGGCGCTGCATCAGCCGGTGGGTCCAGGGTCGTTCCCCCGCTGGGGCGCGGCTCCCATCCGTGGAGCCCTCAGGATGACCTTCCCGCAGACGGCCCCCCCGAGGCCTCGCTTGGTGCTAGAGGTCAAAGCAGCGAGGTAAGGGCAGGCTGCGCTCTTGCGGTTGGGCGAGAAGGCCTTGTCGTAGTGCCTGCAGCAGTTGCTCACCTGGACTCCTCTCCTCCAAGCGCCCCCTCGACGGCCTTGGGCGTGGTCGCTGCCGTTGCCTCTGTCGGGTCCCTGAATCGGCACGAGGCGGAGGTTCAACCCTCCTATCACGCGCAGCCAGTCTCGTGGCCGCTTGATTTCCGAAGCGACAGCTTCTCATCACCGGGTCGTCCCTCTTCTGCGTCCTCCTCAGCTCCCTCTTCAGCCCACAATGCGCTCGTACGATGCTCACGGACTGATGTTCAGGCATGTCCGTGGACGTTCTGCTTTCTCGTCGTGAGCCTTCTAGCCGCCGGGCTCGGACTCTTTCTTCGACGTGCTAGCTCTCGGCGGGTGGAGAAGACAGGTTGCAAGGTGTGGACGCTTTGCCGAAGAATTGAGAGCACAAAGGAGGAAGTGGTGGAGGAGGAAGGGCGCGCGTTGTTGCCGCTGTCGTCCACAGGGCCGAGGGGCTTACAAGAGCCGCGCTATGGTGCCACGGATGTTTCACAGTGAGAGCCGTATAAAGAAGTATGTACTGAAAACAGACATCTCTCAGGCATGGACGCAAGAAGGTGATGGTGTGGTCAGTGAGGATTTTCTTTATAGGGTTATTTGTCCTCTTCGTCGAAGTCTCTATCTATGACAGCGTGCGAGGGCACGGCTGCTTCTTGGCACCCGGTCCCGTCTTGGGAATATCCCTCCCTTTTCTCCTCCTCTCCCCTCCTGATTTGTCAAGCTTGCTCTGAGGGCATCCCACCCTCCAATTTCTCCGCCTCCATTGCCTTGCTCTAATTTCTTTGCGCTTGTTCGGCTTTGCTTTTCGTCTTCTGCCCTCTTCAAGCTTAGGCGGTCAGTCCTTCTGCTGTCAGTCCCTTTCACTTGCCGCGTGCCCCTCTATTCATAGGCCTTCGCCCTCATTGCAAAACCCCGACCGAGCTTACAGACGCTTCAAGCTCTCCACCGGGTTGTAGACGGGCTTGTCGCGGGGGGCCAAAGCGTTCCCGCGCATCAGGGCCCCGATCGTCTTGAATAGCAGCTTGATATCCTCTACAGGGTTGTTTCCTTGTACGCGTTTGTACAGGTAGGAGTCAAACGTCACCTTCTGGACGTACTCAGACTCGCAGAGCTCCACGAAGGCCTCGCGGGCCGCGTTGGAGGAGTAGAACACGCGCTGCAAAATGTCCAGCACGGTGTAGGTGGGGCCGTAGAGTCGGTCGTAGTCCTTGATGTATGTGTCCTTGATCTCCTTCTCGGTAGGCAAGCGCGTGCCTCCCGCCATGAGCTCTCGGATCGACTGGGCGGCCATGCGTCCTGACTTGGCGGCAAAGTAAATGCCCTCTCCCGAGCACTTGGTCACGTAGCCGGCCGCGTCTCCGATCAGAGCCACCCGGCCCACCACACGTCGGGGACGGGGGTGCTCGGGAATCGGGTGCGCTTCTACCTTGATAATCTTCCCGTTCGCGATCTTGTCCCCCGCTCGGTCTCGGATGGCCTTCTGATACATCTTGATCGCGGGGCGGTTGATGACGGTGCCAGTGCCCACCCCCACGTGGTCGTACTTGGGGAAGACCCAGGCATAGAAATCGGGCGACACGTCGTCCCCCACGTACATCTCTGCCAGTTCCTCGTAGAAGTTCATCTTCTCCTCCGAGATCTTGATACGCTCCTGGAAGGCGATCGCGTAGTTGTACTCGCCAGCATCGATCGCCTTGGCCACGCGGGAATTGGCGCCGTCCGCACCGATGATCACGTCCGCCTCGATGGTCTCGGGAACCCCCGCCGCGCCCGTTCCCTTCTCAAAATTGGAGTAGTGAATCTTGTACCGCCCTCCCTCGGTAGTGGGGAGCTCCACCTTGGTGACCAGGCCGTTGATCGCAGTGGCGCCCGTGTTCACCGCGCGCTGTCGGAGGAAACCGTCCAGGACCTCCCGCCGTGTCATCCCGATGTACTCGTTGGGCTTGAGGGTCTGCCCGATGTCCACCTCGCGATTGGTCGGGCTGATCATCTTCATCTTGCGCACCTTCCGGTCGATGATCTCGGCGGGCAGGTCGAACTCGGAGACCATGCACAGAGGGATAGCACCGCCGCACGGCTTGGCGTTGTCCATTTTTCGCTCCAGCAAGACGGTCTCGATATTCTTGTCCTTGGCAAGCTCCTCCGCGGCGCACGACCCCGAGGGCCCCCCGCCGACCACCACAACGCGATACTTCATGTCCACGTCTGCGTGTATAAGGGGAGATGGTTTAGACCACGAAATGTCTTCCACCCTAGCCATTAATTGTCCGACAGAAGTCAAGACCTCGCTCGGAGACGTGGGAAGGGCTCTGTGGACGCCGCATGCATCGAGCTCTGAGCCACGCGCGCGGGAAACTGACCACAGACCGCACACAATTATTGCCATACAACCCTGCACACACACAACTTGGACGACAAGCGAGGTATGAAAATCATTCACAGCGTCACAAAGTAATGCAAGGTACTGATAGATACTTGAGGAGACAGGTCGCGCGAAGTTACACAAGAAAGATAATTCACAATCTTTAATTTTCCGAGCTTAACAAAGCCCCTGAAAGACATTGAGAAAGGCAACACAGCATGCTGAGACGGTCTGCAGCGAATATCTTAGATTTCCGACCTCTTCTCGTCCATCCCCTGCCCACAATTTTCTGACTCACCGCCTCGGGTCCTCACAGCACGAATGGGCTCGGCACGGGCTGCCTGGCGCTGTACGAAAGCGTTATTCAAGGGAAGCGTGGGGTTGAACGCTTGGGCCCCAACAAGGAGGGAGGAGACGAAGAATGCGGACTTCATGGTGGCGGCTTCCTGTTCAAACAGGGACAGGTGGGAGGGCGACAGGGAATACGGTATTGATTTAGTAAGGCAACAAGCGTGAGCAAGAATATACACGACTACTCGGTCGTAACATAGGACCATGCTCTATACATGTAGACACAGCTTCACTAAACATGTGCTTGCAACGGGGGGGAAGGCGAGTAGGAAGCCTCGCTTGCAGTGCTGCACCCAACTGCAAGGCAAAGATACAGTGCGCAGGGTGTGTGGCTGAGGCAGAGGCAAAATAAGCGCGATCGAGACGCATTCCTTTCATATTTTGAAACGCCAGTGAAACTACTACGCAACAAAAATGCCTCAATAGATGCTCAAGTAGTGACAATCGTTTACCAAATAGGGATTCAGGAGAAAAGGTCAGGAGGGGCACTTGCAGTAGGAACAATGTTTGGATTCCGCTCAAGGTGTACTAGAGCCTTCCCGCCCCCAGTCGGTTGATCCGGAACCGCGGTCATCGGGTCTTGCACTTTCGGAGCTACCACTCCTTTCCTCCCATTGTTTTTTTGGTCGCGCGCGCATTAATACGCGCGGAAAGAGGCCGTGTACACAGTGGTGTCGACTTGTTTCTTGCAGTGGAAACGCCGTTGAAGTGCGTATCAATCAGGCGGTTAGGCCTCGCGACTCTCCCGAGCGAGGAGGAAGAGCCGTAAAGCCTGTCGCACACTGCGGTCAGCGTGCTAAGAGAAACCGCGAGCGAGTAGTTCAACACAAAGGGAAGGGCCCATGCGTCGCATTCACTTCTTTCTGGCTCTTTTTCGACATACTCCGTGTTGGAAAGACGGCTTTTACCTCCCGCTCCTCCCAGTGTGCATGTTTTTTCCGTGTCACTCATCCAACTTGGACCGAATCAGCTTCTAATTCCCGGTCCATCGCATTAAACGATAGCCGCTTGTAATCAAAGCGTATCCTTTCCTCGCGTTGCGAGTGCGCTCAGCTGCAAATGACTCTCTGTTGATTTAAGTCCGTTTCCTATCGACAAAGAATAGGAGTTTTCTCCGAGCATCGGAGAGGAAATTGCCTTCATACCGGGCTCCATATCATTTCGTGGATACATTTCTACATTTTTCCTCTCTTTAAAGAAGCTCGATGGCGCCAAATCGTCGTGGCGGGCCCTTAACTCGCAGCAGCAGTGGGAATACTCCGACAAAAAGGACTAAAGCAACGCCCAAAGCGTCCGAGACATCCTCAGCTGTTCATGACAATGATTTGTCGGTCATTTCCAAGAAAGAGATTGAAGACCGTGGAGCGGGCACGGACGAAGACACAGACACTTATGTTGACCTGCCGTTCCTGCGCGGAGAGAAGCGTGTTTTTTTTACTGCTGTCATTTTCCTAACGCGTTTAAACGTCCCTCGTTGGGCAGAGGCCGACCATCACCCCGCTTATCTAATGCGGTCGATGATGCATTTCCCCTTCTTAGGGCTCTGTGTAGGAATTTGGGCGGCTGTCTGGCTCGAGGCCGCGGCGGTGCTCTGGACCCCTTTTGTCGCTGCAGCGGCTTCGACATTAGCTGGTGTATGGATAACGGGAGCCTTTCATGAAGACGGACTCGCAGATTCTTTGGATGCCTTTGGGGGAGGGTGGGGGCGCTTGCAAATCTTGCGCATTATGACAGACACTCGCGTGGGAACCTATGCATTGGTGGGCATGATTCTCGTCATGGGGATGAAACTAAAGAGCTTGGAGGTTTTGCAATCCTTGTCGCAGTCGGACATAACGATAAGCACTTTTTTGCCCTCCTTATCCCTTTCTCCCGCCAGCGTGGCCCTGTTAGTGGCCCATACAGTGTCTCGATGGACTGTCCTTCCTCTAATATACTCCTGCCACTACATTCAAGATGAGCAAAGTGCCAAGCGAGGGCTTTACAATTGGTTTGCGGACTCTCAGAGGCTCCTGACTCTCCCTCGTCTCTGCTTGGGCACACTGGTCACGATCCTTGTTCCCGTGTTGCTCCTCCCTGTTGAGCAAGCCATGAGTGTCTTCCTGGTCGTGGTTCTGGTCACTCTTGGGGCGTCGTATTACGGAAATTTGATCATTGGGGGGGTCATTGGCGATTTTTTAGGCGCAACGATTCAGGTCTGCGAGCTGTGCGTATATCTGCTCTTGAGCGCTGATCTCAAGCAGACGCAGACAAACCCCTTCCCTCTCGTCATGCTGGCGGCTACAGCCGTTTTGCCTATTTTGACATCTCGGCCTTTGATTGACTTTGGCTTTCGCGCCGAGTGTTAGCAAAAAAAGTTATTTACAAAAGTATAAGCATGTCTGTCACACTGTTGGAAAAAAATTGGGCAAATAAATTGGAGGGAGTAAAAAGTACTTCATAGCTTTCAAACTTGAATCTTGCAGTCCCCCTTCCCATTTTTATCGACTACTTCGGCCCGAGTTCCTTCTTGTCCTGATTACTTCCTGTTTCGCTGTCAATGCCGCGACACTCTTTCTTTCCTTCGACCATGGAGTCCATGGTTACCATCTCCCGCATGATCGCACAGGCGGATCTCAGGAGGGGCAAAGCCAGAAGAGCCCCAGTTCCCTCCCCAAGTCGGAGACTCATCATGAGAGGCGGCGGGAAATAGGGTACATCGATTTCCTGTGCCTTGGTTGCCACGGCCTGCAGCAACACTGAGGCCCCTTTCTCGTCTGACTGGTGGCTCCAGAACAAGAATGCTGCAAGAGGAGGGTGAAAATGGAGCGCGACCAGAGCCGCTGCCCCCGACACGAAGCCATCGACCAAGATAGGCATGCGCCATCGACCCGCTTCCAAGTAAGCGCCTACCATGGCGGCCAATTCGAGACCCCCAACAGCTTCGAGGACGTGGGCGGGATCCCTCTCCCGGACCAGCTCACTGTTGGCAGCAAGAGCTTTTTCAATAGCTTGAGCCTTCAGGTTCACCCCGTCCGGATCTAGACCCGTTCCTTTGCCCGTGACCAGCGCTGCTGGCGAGCCTGTTAATGCGGCTACGAGTGCAGCGGCAGCGGTGGTATTTCCAATGCCAAGTTCACCAATGCAGAGCGCAAGCCTCGAATGAGAACTCGCCCCTCCCGTTGTGTCCTCGTTGCAACTGATGGCACCTGGGGCAGGGTGGGCCTTCGCATGTTCAGCAAGGTATCTTCGCACAGCCTCGGCTCCCACGTTTTGGGCTGCAGCCCGTTCCTCGGGGGTTAGCGCTGGGCCCTGCGTCATGTCTCTCGAGCCCCTACTCACCTTCGCTTGGGTCACAGTGATGTGATGCGCCCCGCCGGCAATCGTGAACGAAGCACCGCCATTCTCATATGGATATCTTTCATCCTTACATGTATCAATGCCTACGTCAACGATGTTCAGTTCGCAGCCGTTGCTTCGGCTTAGGATTGCACTTGCTCCAGTCCCTGAAGCGATGTCTTGAAATATAGGTCTTGTCACTTCCCGGGGATACGCTGACACGCCCGGATGAGATAGCGTAATGCCGTGGTCACCTGTTCTTTGAGAAATAGGATTATAATGAAACCTGATACTTACCCTCACATAATTTGATTTTTTCTCTGTGCCAATACATCACCTGCGAAGAGTACTAGGCGAGCAGCAGAAATATGTGGGCGCAGAGTTTGTTGGATGTCTGAGATTTTAACTGCCCAGTCCTCCAGTAAACCTAAAGACCCCGGTGGCTTTGCCTTGGCATCAATCTCTTGGCGGGCTTCTAAAAGCCATGGTGATGATAATGTAGTTGAACGATTATGTAGGTGGACGGCGCCGGTTTCGCTTTGGCTCATCTGAGATTCACAGCCTTTTGAGCACAATAGACAAGATTGGGAACCATGAACATGAGCGAATGAGGAGTTAAAAGTTCTGCATGTAAAGAATATTCACTTCTGTTCGGCTGAAATCCCTAGTGCTTGGTTTTGTCACTGCGGAGGCACGCTGGGTCCGACTGCAGGGTTCCTCGTGCTTCTCCTGTTCTTGTTGCTCAAGTAGATCCTGAGTGGATCCAGCGGCAACTTGCACAATGGCATGGTGCTATTTAAAGACATGGTTCTTAGTTTATAACCCGTTGATAACAAACAACACCTTCTACTTAGGTATAACGATGCGCCAGGGCTGCGAAAAAGCCCGGCCAACGTCGGCAGTATCAAAAAAGGCCTCGGCCAGTTTTGGCGAACCTTTCCTCCTTTTCTTCACCCCTAGCTCCCCCACAACCACAGCTATCGATGGAAAGCTGCCCAGACGACTCCAACAATGGCCACGACAGGGATGAGGAAGAGACTTCTTGCGAGTCGACCTATTTTGTGGAGCGAGATGAAGTGCTAGCTCGGCTTACGCTTCTAGCAGGGCCAGAGCCCCCCGCCTCTCTTACGGGGGAGCTCGAATGGCTACAAAAAGTACTGGACAAATATTTAGAGCAAAGTACTCTCTTAGATCCTGCCATGGAAAAGATGTTAGCCCTAACCATGGGGCGAGCCCGACTTATTATTTTGAGCTGGCAAAATAAACGGCTAGCTGAACAGGTAACGGCGCCGGCTCCCTCATTCCCTTTCCAAATATTTCGCAACGCCCAACTAGATGCGCTTTTCGCCTTTGTATACGTGCTATGCCGGCTACGCGGTCGCAAGACCGTGATTACCTTCTTTCCTCATGAAGCAACCGACCTGGAGCCGGTCCTTCACGCCTTGCAATCACAAGACCGGCAGGATTGCGGACTATGGCAGACCCGATACATACTCCTACTCTGGCTTAGCATGCTCGTCCTTGTGCCCTTCAACATATGCTCCATCGATTCAGGCGTAGACGCAGGACAGTCTGGGCGGGCACAGTCAAGCGTGACGCTGGTGGGTGCTATCTGTGACCAGGCGACCGAGTACTTGCGGGATCCAGGGCCCACGCGGGAAGCCGCCGCTGTCTGCCTCGCGAGTCTTTTGAAGCGCCCGGACATGGAATGCGGGCAGCTCGCCGTCTTTCTGAAGTGGGCTGAAGGCGTCCTGGGGGTGCGCGATCCTTCGGCAGGTGCGGAAATGGAGGAAAGGGGGCAGAGAGGGAGTGGAGGAGGAGGACTCGAGGCTACCCTGGCCGCCCCAGGGGAGGCATTTTTACCCCTGGGGGTGCTGCAAACTCTGTCAGTGCTGCTCAAAGCTGGTCACCGACAAAACCTGCTCGCATTTCTGCCCTCCCTCTTGCGCTGCCTTGCGCAGGGCCCATCCAGTGACCTGGGAAGCCTCACGCTGAGTCGGAAGCTGAAGATAAAACTTTTACAGCGCGTCGCCCTCGCCTACTTGCCTCCGCGCGTCGCGTCGTGGCGGTACCGGCGGGGACAACGGTCATTGCTGGACAACTTGCGCAGCGTCCAGGAGGCCCGAGGGGGGCGACGATTGGGACCTGAGAGAGGGACCGAGGAGGGGGGCGAGGAAGAGGAGGTTGAAGAGGGGAAGGACGAGGAGGACGTGCCGGAAGCGTTGGAGGATATCGTGGAGGAACTTCTTCTAGGCCTCCGAGACCGTGACACCGTGGTTCGCTGGTCCGCCGCAAAGGGTTTAGGTCGGATCGCCAGTCGGCTGCCCGAGTCCTACGCGGACGAGGTGGTGGCCTCTGTCCTCTCCTCTTTCACGGAGAGCGCCCCAGACAGCGCCTGGCACGGCGGCTGCCTGGCTCTCGCCGAGTTGGCCCGACGCGGGTCGCTGTTGCCGGGAAGACTGGGCCTGGCGGTGCCGGTGGTGACCCGAGCCTTGCGGTACGACGTCCGCCGGGGGCAGGCCAGCGTCGGGGCCCACGTGCGGGACGCGGCCTGCTACGTCTGCTGGGCCTTCGCGCGTGCATACTCACCCCAAGCAATGCGCCCCTATGTGCAGAGACTGGCAACTGGCATGCTTCTGACCGCGCTCTTCGACAGAGAGATCAACTGCCGAAGGGCGGCAGCGGCCGCTTTCCAGGAAAACGTGGGCCGTCAGGGGGCCCGGAATTTTGCCCACGGGATCGCCATTCTCGCGGCGGCCGACTACTTCACCCTGGGGAACCGACAGGCTGCCTACCTGTCCATCGGTCCCGCGGTGGCTCACTTTCCGCCTTACACTCGGTCAATCATCGAGCACTTGGCTCTGGTCAAGCTCAGGCACCCAGACCCGTCCATACGCCTGTTAGGCAGCCAGGCCCTCCATCGCATGGCCGGCCTGGCCCCTTCCTTCCTGTTGGACGATATCCTCCCCACCCTCGTCGCGCAGGTGGACGCACTGGACCTCTGCTGTCGCCATGGAGCCTTGCTGGGCGTCGCCGAGCTCCTGCTGGGCTTGAGCCAGCTCCCCTCTTTCCTGCCCGGGGAGACCCTCAAGGCTGTAGTGGCCATCGTGCCTCGAATCGAGCAGGCCCGCCTTTACCGAGGCCGTGGCGGAGAACTCGTGCGCGAGGCTGCTTGTCGTTTGATCGAGTGCCTGGCCCTGGCTCTCGTGCCTCTGTCCGTCAAAACGCAACTCCGCTTGCTCGACTCCCTGGACGAGAATTTGAGGCACCCGGCGGACGCGGTCCGGGCGCACGCCGTCGCAGCCATCCGGGCCTTTACCCATGCCTACTTCGGAAGGGGCATGGACGAGCCCTCAGCACGTCTGCAGGCGCGGGTTGTGGACAAATACCGGCGTCTGGTGGAGACGGACGAGAACGTCGCTGTC